AAAAGCACTGACATCTGTTTCCACCCCCAGAAAGTCTGATGTAACTGGTCTCAGTGTGACCCAGGCAGTGAGACCGTTTAAAGGCTTCCCAAGTGACTTTTGTGTGCAGCAAAGTTTGAGAACCATTGCCTACCACCTGGCACAGAGGCTTCAAAATGGTAGCTAAATCTGCACAGCTCTTGCTGGAAGAGGGTCTGAAGGCAGTGGACGTTAATTAAAATGAACAGTTGGCCTCACAGCTTTCAGCTAACTCACCAGTGTAATGGCATCCTCAAGCTTGCTGGAGTTCAGATCTGCCAAATCTTGTGTGCCCCCGTGGGCTCTTCTGGCACTTTCCTTCAGTACATTTCTCTTCTCTTCTGTTGGGCTCCCTTTCAAGTGATTAACAATGTACATCTGCTCAGCATTAGGAGCAAATAGCTTCACCTTCAAAAATAGAAATAAAAACAAATGATGTCATTGCCGCTTTGAAAACAATCAAGCAAATCAATCTCAGAGCATAAATAAACCAGGAAGAAAAGTCAGAAAACCACTAAGTAATTCCATATGCCTTCAGGGACAATACCAAGCACAATATCAGCCACAAGGAAGAAACTGCAAGGGACTTCTGGTGGGGGGGGGGGGCGCGGGGAAAGAGCTATAAATTAGCTTCTATAAAGAAAGTAGAATAGAAACAGGTTGCTTCCCAAATACGTACATACATATACCTACCTATATATACACACATACAAAAATGTGTGTGTGTGTGTTCAAAGTTTGCCTTTGAACAACACAGGAGTTAGGGACACTGACCTCCTGTGCAGTCAAAAATTCATCTATTGGGGCACCTGGATGGTTCATGTGGTTAATCTGACTCCTGATTTCAGCTCAAGTCATGATCTCACACTTCGTGGGACTGAGCCCCACACCAAGCTCTGTACTGATAGCACAGAGCCTGCTTGGGATTCTCTCTTTCCCTCCCCGCCCCTCCCCTGCTTACACATGTGTGCTCTCTCTCAAAATAAATAAATAAATATTCTTTAAAAATTTGTATGTAACTTTTGACTCCCCCAAAACTTAACTACTAACAGCCTACTGTTGACTCAAAGCCTTACTGAAAATATAAACTGTCAATTAACACATATTTTGTATGTTATGTACATGAGAGTCATCTAGGAATCTTAAATATATATATACATACATATATATGTATGTATGTATATATATACTGTACTCTTATATAAAGTAAGCTAGGAGAAAAGAAAATGTTAAGAAGTCATATGAGGGGCGCCTGGGTGGCTCAGTCGGTTAAGCGTCCAACTTTGGCTCAGGTCATGATCTCATGGTTTGTGGGTTCAAGCCCTGCGTCAGGCTCTATGCTGACAGCTAGCTCAGAGCCTGGAGCCTGTTTCGGATTCTGTATCTCCCTCTCTCTCTGACCCTCCCCTGCTCATGCTGTCTCACTCTCTCTCTCTCTCTCAGAAAAAAATAAAACATTAAAAAATATTTCTAAAGCAGGGATTCTCAACCCTGGCTGCATATTAGAATTACTTGGGGGGAGTTGAGGCCCAAACAGACCAGTTACACGGGAATTTCTGGGAATGAAGCACTAGCTTGGACGTTGGTATGTCTTATAATCTCCTGAGGGGATTCCATCATTTGTCAGGGTTAGCAATGACTGATCTAAAGCAAACGGAAAATAAAACTCACCAACTCAGGCCTCTGAGTTGAAATCTCAGGTCTAAATGCCAATAGCCCAAAGCAGACTATTGGAAGCTCTTACTTGACCCACCTTCACACATCCAGTCCAACCAAGCTCTGGAAACACCCCCAGCCTGCCATGAGAAACAGTTCCTCTTTCCCCAGCCGGTGGATGCTGCGGGGGCTCTGATTTGGGGAGCCATGAGGATTTGGAGGCAAGGAAGCTCAAGGTGGGCACTTGTATACTGGGGAGCCTTGGTGTCTTACCTTCTTCACTGACTTCTACCCTATCCCAAAACTTGCAGGTGCGCTTCTCCAGGAAGTGGACAAGGCTGGTCTGAGTCTTATGTCCCTTGGCTTCCTGAGAAGGCATCATTAAGACTAGAAAGCAAATGGGGCGCCTGGGTGGCTCAGTCTGGTAAACAACCAACTCTTGATTTTGGCTCAGGTCATGATCCCACGGCCATGGGATTGAGCCCTACATGAGTGTGAAGTCTGCTTAAGGTTCTCTCTCTCCCTCTGCCCCCTCCCCTGCTTACACACTCTCACACTCATTCGCTAATAAAAAAAAAAAAAGAGAGAGAAACTTTATTTTTTAAAAAAAACTATTTCTGGGGCGCCCAGGTGGCTTAGTCGGCTAAGTGTCCGACTTTCGCTCAGGTCATGATCTCGCGGTTCGTGGGTTCGAGCCCCGCGGCGGGCTCTGTGCTGACTGCCAGCTCAGAGCCTGGAGCCTGTTTCGGAGTCTGTCACTCCCTCTCTCTCTGACCCTTCCCTGCTCACGCTGTCTCTCTCTCTCCTAGAAATAAATAAAACATTTAAAAAAAAAATAAAAATAAAAAAACCTATTTGTTATTCATAGAAAGTGTATGTTCATGTCTTAGCCTCCTGTTATTAACCTTTGTATTTGATTAAAATATATATTAATATTCTAAACATCCTCTCTTCCCTCTAGTTTTGGTTTTACAAAATTGAGCAATGTCTCATGTCTGTGGAATAGATCTCTCTATGGGAGAAATCCTAAGCGCATATACATCCCATTATTAGCAAAAAGAGAAGGAAAAAAAACCTTAGAACATTCTGAAGGTCAAGAAAGATGGGGAAAAAAAATGTGTGGATTGGTTTTTAAACCAGTAATTCTGAAAAACAGACTGGCTTGCAGTTGCTTTGTGAAATCCGTCAGATCCACCTGCCTAAGGTAGAAGTGAAGATGAAAATTTAAATTTCACTTAAACTCTACCCTATCCCAGAATCCTACAACTCTATTTTTTCCTTTGAGAAGGAGAGTTCCTCTGGTGTGCAACAGTTCAATGGTTGATAAACCTGATTTTATCAGACTACAATAATGTTCTGAGTGTTCCTAAGCTAACTGAGCAAGGACCCATGGGAAAACAATTGGATTAAAATTCAACCGATTTTTTCACCAATCTTCAAGGTTTAAAAATCATGAACTAGAGAGGAGGGAGGGATCAGGCAAGGATAGTCTACAAGCGTCTTTAGCCCAGGGTGCTGGGCTCATAGCCAAAAGGAACAGAAGGCAGAACCAGACCACAGCAGATGGGAGCTACTGAGAGGCTGATTTAGGGCTAATTTAAAGAATTGCTTTCTTGCCATTAGAGCTCCCTGCTCACGGACTGAAGAGACTGCGGTCCCAAGAGAGGCGGTCTCCACCACTGACCACAGTCAACTTGAAGCTTGTTTCTGTAGCTCTGGGAAGTGCTGAGTAGGATGGGAAGCTCCACGGAGGCCCTCTAGTGTGTGGCTCCATTATTTGCAAATTGTACCCTGGAGAGTTGTCTCGTTTTAAGCCATGCTCCAGTACATGCTCACTGGGAGTGCTGTGGTGCCCTTCAAATTGGACATTTCAGCTGTTATAGTTAGGATGTGTCCCCACCCCCTCATCTTTTGTGGATCTTTGGAGAGGCCAGTGTAGGCGAGGTATTTTAAACTGGGCCATGATATATGGAGGAGAGCTAGGACTGGAGCCACCTGACCACTTAGGTACGTGGGTGTTAAAATGGTGCCCTGCTTGAATCTCCACAGAATTCCCCAACCTGGTGCTGCAAGCGTCAAAGGTCAAAGGTGGGGGTGGGGGCAGAGGTGCAGGGAGGGTTAGGGGAGAAGTAATTCCCATCAGCCCTCAGAAAACCTGGTATGCCTAGGGAAGCACCCGACTCTCCTTCCACCCCCAACAAGGGTCATAGGTGGTCACCTATGGCCACTGCAGCCACCTCACTTACTCCATTATGCTTACAAATATTATGAGGGTTCACTCTGTTGTGGGTGAAGTGAAGGCATGCTGCCCTCTTGTAAAAAAAAAAAAAAAGGTGACTGTGTTATTATAGTTTTAATGTACCTTTTACAGACATAAGTCAGTATCTTTGTACAAAAGTATGCCAGGCCATGAATATCTCACCAGAATCAGGGCAGCTGATCCCATTGTCCTGAAGTGGGTGACGGGTGAAGAAGAAAGGGTAATGCAGAATCTTCTCCCCTGTTCAAGGTGTAGGGCGCCAACAAGGAAGACCATCTGGGGATAAGGGGTAGAATGCATTAAAGAGCATTTAGGGGCACCTGGGTGGCTCAGTTGGTTAAGCATCTGACTTTTGATTTCTGCTCACATCATGATCTCGGGGTTTGTGAGATGGAGCCCCGCTTTGGGCTCTGCGCTGACAGCGTGGAGCCTGCTTGGAACTCTCTCTCCTCTCTTTGCTCCTCCCTTGCTTGCACATGATCTCTCTCTCAAAATAAACTTAAAAAAAAAAAAAGGCATTTAGAGTAGTATTGGGGGCTGTGTATTTGTTGGCCTTTGTTCTCACTGGCTTAAGGCGGGTGAGGACCAGGAATTCCTCCATTATTGTTTTCCTCGCTGCACCACCACCTCCAAATAACGATTCTGCCACACAAATGTTTGTCGTCACCTTTCGGGACCCTGCGTGACAGGGTAAGAGTTCCGTGCTAGAGAAGCCAAGGGAGGAAACCGAAGCTGATTGTTGGTTTAGTTTGGTTTGGATGGTGGTTGTTGAGCAGAAGTCAGAAAATAACTCCAAACAAGCAGTGATCTCTACACAGACGCGGGGCCAGAAGAACAAGGCATTAGGAGTCACTTTCAGAAAAAGGAGGCCCCACGGCGCGGACGGAGAGCTTCGGTCAGCGATCCGCTGAGGAACAGGAAAAAGGGCTGCACGGAAGAGCTCCGCTGCCTGACCCCCAGGAAGGCGCCCAGCGCCCGAGTCTGCGGCCAGGGAGGCGGCGGGACCCGCCGGACCACACTCGCCGGGTCCAGGGTTCGCGCGGCGCGCGGGGGGCGGGGCTCCGCGCGCATGCTCAGCTCGCGGGCCCTCCGCGTCGCCCGGCTCGGGAGGCGCCGGAAGCACCGGGAGCCGCCGCATGGCGCAGGCGGGGAGCGCCGGTCGGGGGGCCGAGGGGCAGAAGGCCGCGGGCGCGGCCCCGGGGTGCGCGCTTTGGCGCTGGATCCCCGGGCTGCTGTGGCTGGCGGTGGCCGCGGGCGGGCCCTCCCAGCGCCGGTGGCCCGTGCCCTACAAGTGAGTGCGCGCGGGCGCGGCGGGGCGGGGGCCCGCGGCCCGGAGGCGGAGGCGGCGCGCGCGGGCGGTGCAGGACCGAACTGAGAGCGCCGGCGTCGCCCCTCTTGGCCGCGCGACGCCCGGGCCGTTTCTTCCTCCCGGGACCCTTGGGCTCGTTTCTAGGTGGCCTCGGCTCAGGGCAGGCCAGAGTCCTGGAAGAAAAAGGAGTAATGTGATTTTATTTGGGTGACTTTTAGATACAAGTAATCAACTCTTTGAATGGTTAGAGGAGGCTTGGAACATCGTGTTTATTACTTGACGTCATGCATGTCATTAGTTAGTCATTAGAGTGCGTGCATATTGGCACAATATACAGCACGGCCTACGGGTCTTGGCTCTCTGGGAATTTCCATTTTTAGGTAAAAGTCACGCGTCCTGGGAATTCCGGGAAGGTTGGTGACCTCGTCTGTCGTTCATTTTCAGTCTGGGTGTAAGTTGTGGTCTTAAGACGAGGACAGAGACTGCACACCTGTGGAGCTGATTGGAGCCTTTGACCTAGAAGAGTATTCCCACGGCCTAAGATGTTCACGTGGCTAAACAGAAAGAAAACACGGTATTAACGTCAAGCACGGGAAAGGCCAACAGATTTTGCAAACACACCACTATTTCAGATGACGAAATAGTAAATGGGGAGGCAGGATAGCCTAGCTGTCCCCTGGGTTCCAGTCAAATCAGGCACCACCAGCACTAGCTTTTGAAATTGGCAGTGTCACTCAGTATCTCTGTGCCTACAGGACGTGACTTAGAAAGTAGGAATGGATGAAGCCCCTTGGTGGCTCAGTCCTTAAGCCTCCTACTTTGGTACAGGTCATGATCTTGGGGTCTGTGAGTTTAAGCCCCCCAGAGCCTGGAGTCTCCTTCAGATTCTGTGTCTCCCTCTCTCTCCCCCCCTTCCTGCCTCATGCTCTTTTTCTCCTTCAAAAATAAATAAGCGTTCATAGCAGCACTCTCCACAATAGCTAAAACATGGAAGAGCCTAAGTGTCCATCAACGGACGAATGGATCAAGAAGATGTGGTTTATCTATACCATGGAATACTACATGGCAATGAGAAAGAATGAAATCTGGCCATGTGTAGCAACATGGCTGGACCTTGAGGGTGTTACGCTGAGCGAAATAAGTCAGGCAGAGAAGGACAAATATCATGTGTTTGCACGTATAGGAGGATTAGGAGGAACTTGACGGAGGAACAAGGGGGAGAAGAAGGGCGGAAATGGTGGGGGAAAGGGAGAGAGGCAAACCATGAGAGACTCTTGAATGCTGACAAAAACTGAGGACTGATGGATGTGGGGGGGAGGAGGGATGGGCATGGAGGAGGGCACTTGTGGGGATGAGCACTGGGTGTTATGTGGAAACTAATTTGACAAACTATTTGAAAAAAAAAAAAAAAAGTATGTGAAGAAACTACCAAGGGCTGCAGAGAAACCTCCCGAAATAATTGGAAAAACAAAACAAAACAAAAATAAATAAGCATTTAAAAAAAATTTTTTTTTAAGAGGGAGGCTTGTTAGGAGGATTAAATCTAGTAAATGTCAGCTATTGTCAAGCCTGGATAGGAGTGTCTTCTGTTCACTAAATGGTTTGCACCACTTCCTTGTTTTGCTTGATATATATGAAAAGAGAAGTTTGGGTTTTCTTGAAAAGAAAAAAGTTAATAAAACGTTCATAAGTAAAATTAAATGTTCAATAAAATAAGGAAGAGATTGTAAATACAAACTACTTGATTTATAGTTAGGGCAAGGAATTGACTATACCTTAGGGTTTCTATAAAAGTTTCAAGTAGTCAGTACCTGCCAACATTTAGTCTTCTCAACTGAGTATAATAAAATTTAACTTTATTGGGGCGCCTGGGTGGCTTAGTCGGTTAAGCGTCCGACTTTCGCTTAGGTCATGATCTCGCGGTTCGTGGGTTCGAGCCCCGCGTCGGGCTCTGTGCTGACTGCCAGCTCGGAGCCTGGAGCCTGTTTCAGAGTCTGTATCTCCCTCTCTCTGACCCTCCCCTGCTCACGCTGTCTCTCTCTCTCTCCTAGAAATAAAAATATTAAAAAAAAATTTAACTTTATTAAATTATACTTTTGAAATTACCTTTGACCTAAAAGATTTTGCTTTAAGCAAGTGAAAACTATAGTTATGTATTTGTTTAAACCCATTGAGCACCTATAAAAACAAGGAAGTGTACGTGTTTCATAAACATTGGCTAACATCAAGATTTTAACTTCTTAAAATAGAATTTTTTGTTGATGCGTTAAGTTGTAAAAGAATCGATCTGTCTAAAATTTTAGAGATCCAGGATTCTTAGAGGATAGATAGAGGCAGTGTCCGTCTTTCTCCCGTCTTTCTCTTCCAGTGCCAAATATGGCAGGTGACCAGCAAGTGTCTCTTGACTTCAGCAGTAGTCACTCCTCTAGTCCAGCTGGGTGGCCCTCTCTGGGGGCCTTCTCCGTTACATTATTGCCGTAACCTCCTCATTCACCTCTGCCTTAATTTCGCCTCTCTCGCCACTCTCTTCTGACTTCTAAAATAAGGCTTGTTTTACAGCAAATTCAGTCACCCTAGGTCTGCTAATTAACATCCTTTAAGCTAACTCTGGGGCTCAGCTGTGGGAGTCCTGGGGTGCGGTTCACGCTGCATTAGTGCAAAATGACAGTCCCTGCCTGTCTCTCCTCCCTCGAAGCCTGAATTCCAGCATTGTTTACCTACTGTCTTATAATACTTAATGTTGTCCCTCCTTTTATGTCCTAGCCTTCGAAAGTATTTTAAAAACCTGAGATAGGTCTTCATCCCCGTCTTTGCTCTCCTCATCCCCACCTGTTCCACATCAGGTAAAAGTGATTTCTCTGTTTTCTGTGCCCATAGGACTTTGTATATTTCTTTAGCACTCACCATAACGCACCATATTAGTTGTTAAATGTCTTTCCAGTCCTCACCTAAATGTCCTTGAGGAAGGGAACATCATTTTAATTCTGCTTCCTTCCTCCCTTGCATAGTGTCCTATAGTAGATCCTTAGTGATCAGTTGGTCACTGGTTGATTTTTTTTTTAATTTTTTTTAACATGTATTCATTTTTGAGAGACAGAGATGAGAGCGAGTGGGGGAGGGGCAGAGACACAGAATCTCGGAGACACAGAATCTGAAACAGGCTCCAGGCTCTGAGCTGTCAGCACAGAGCCCGACACAGGGCTCAAATCCATGAACCATGAGATCATGACCTAAGCCTAAGTCAGATGCTTAACCAACTGAGCCACCCAGGTGCCCCAATTTTTTGTTTTTAAAAAATTGTGTAATATTTTATTTTATTTTTGAGAGACAGAGCACAAGCAGGGGAGGGGTAGAGAGAGGGAAACACAGAATCCAAAGCAGCCTCCAGGCTTTGACCTGTGAGCACAGCCCGACAAGGGGCTTGAACCCATGAACGGGAGATCATGACCTGAGCTGAAGTCAGAAACTCAACCAGCTGAGCCACCCAGGTGCCCGTTTTCAATTTTAAAGATTTAATTGGCTTTATTAAATGATTGATGAATTGGGCAGCATCCCATCTAACAAATAGAGGGGCACTCATGTTGGTTAATTTTTTTAATGTTTGTTTATTTTGAGAGAGAGACAGAGAGAGACAGAGAGAGAGAGAGAGAGGGAATCCCAAGAAGGCTCTGCACTGTCAATGCAGAGCCGGACATGGGACTCAAACCCAGGGACTGTGAGATCATGACCTGAGCTGAAATCAAGAATCAGATGCTTAACCGACAGCATCACCCAGGTGCCCCCTGTTGGGTAATTCTTAAGAAAATAGAAAACATATTCTATTTCATTATAATTATTTTGAAATAATCTTAACATTTGGATTGTTTAGGAAATTAAATGTTGTTTGAAAAATATTCCTTTATTCAGTGAATATTTGTCTATAAGATCTGGATCTATAAACATTTTTTAAGATAGTGCCCCTGTGTTCAAAATTCTCACAATGAGAGCAGATAACAGGGAAGCATGCATTTATCAAATGTATCATTTGCTTTTAATGACTTCATTGGAGTTTGTTGACAGAATAACAAAATGTTTAAACACTATGGGCTAAACTTTGAATGTTTTTTCTGAAAATGTTACTACAGTGATACTAAAATCTGAATTCTAAAATGTACAAGAAGTGGGGCGCCTGGGTGGCTTAGTCGGTTAAGCGTCTGACTTTGGCTTAGGTCGTGATCTCGCGGTTCGTGGGTTCGAGCCCCGCATCAGGCTCTGTGCTGATTGCCAGCTCGGAGCCTGGAGCCTATTTCAGAGTCTGTATCTCCCTCTCTCTCTGACCCTCCCCTGCTCACGCTCTCTCTCTCTCTCTCTCTCCTAGAAATAAATAAAAAGATTTTTAAAAAATGTACAAGAAGAACCAAATTCCATCTAAGTTTGTGGTTTCTTTTTTCTTTATTAGACGCTTTTCCTTCCGCCCAGAACCAGATCCTTATTGTCAAGCTAAATACACTTTCTGTCCAACGGGCTCACCTTTCCCATTTATGAAAGGTGATGATGTCATTGAAGTCTTTCGGTTACAAGCCCCCGTATGGGAATTTAAATACGGAAACCTCCTGGGACACCTGGTAAGGCTGCATCTTGATTTTATAACTTTGGTTAGTTATTTATTAAACATTAAGTGGATTTGAGGGAATAATCGCTGTTCAGAGAGCTAATTTTAGATTATGTATAATTGGTGTTCCTCCTAACATATTTAAAATGAGTAGTCAAAAAATGTTATCATGTTTTGTGATCCTGACAGTAACAAATGCAGTTGCTTTATTCCTTTTAATATTCTGAATCCATACCCAAGTCCGCATACCTAGCTCCTGGGAAGTAAGAAAGGAGTAGGCCCAGAGGAAGGGCAGGGCAGTCCGGTGACACTTCATTTCCAGTCCCTGCTGCACACATTTTCCTAGGTTAGCTCACCAGTTGAGCCTCTCATCGCCCTGGGAAGTATGTAGACTTCCTGAGCCTGTGGCATGGAGCTTCTCCAACCCATTCTAAACTGCAAAGAAATTAAGAGCATGTCCGTATAGCATATCTGAGATAAGCAGCATTGGTCAAAACCAGAGTGGACAAGGGCCTGGAAGTGGTGGAGCCACAGAGTAGACGCAAGAATAGCACCATGGAAGAGGAACAGCTGAGTTGTTCTACTTGCTGTGCAGTTGTGATACATTAACATTTTCTCCCATCTGGTTCCTGGACCAGTGGTTACTTCACAGATGCTTTCACACATGTATGATCTTTACACAGAAAATTATGCACGATGCCATTGGATTCAAGAGTACTTTAACTGGCAAGAACTACACAATGGAATGGTACGAACTTTTCCAACTTGGAAATTGCACATTTCCCCATCTCCGACCTGAAATGAATGCCCCTTTCTGGTGTAATCAAGGAGCTGCATGCTTTTTTGAAGGAATTGATGATATTCACTGGAAGGAAAATGGGACATTAGTTCAAGTAGCAACTATATCAGGTAAGTTTCAAAAATATGGCAGTATTTGATGACTGCATCAATATCCAAATGAAAAAAATTGCTTTCATTGAGGCATTTCAGTCATGTTCTACCTTCTAGAGGTCAGTTTACGAAATATACTTCTGGAAGCAATAACTTTTGATCAAACTATTACTCCTGTAAAACATCACCTTTAGTAGTCTTTTTTTTTTTTTTTTTTTTAATGTTTATTTCTTTTTGAGAGAGAGTGTGTGAGCAGAGAGGGGCAGAGAGAGAGGGAGACACAGAATCTGAAGCAGGTTCCAGGCTCTGAGGTGTCAGCACAGAGCCCAATGCGGGGCTGAAACTCACAGACCTCGAGATCATGACCTGAGCCAAAGTTGGATGTTCAACCGACTGAGCCACCCAGGCTCACCTTTAGATGATGAGTAGTGTATCTCCTCTATTCCATGGTAAAAAAATGAAATGATAAAATGTTTTCTGCAGTTAAATTGGACTTTCTAAATAAATAGTAGAAGAAAATTGACAGAATGCCTGAGAAAATATTTGATCAAAGGACCTGTTAACTGTATCTGGAAAAAAACTTTTTGAGTGATGATAAAATATTTTCATGTCAAGAAATAATAACAGCTGCCACTCATGGGGACTTACTCTGGGCCCGGCAGTGTTCTGAGTGCTTTACCTATATCATAATCATTTATCACAATCCCCTGAGATAGTTACTTCTATTTCCCCCATTTTACAGATGGATAAAAGTGAGGCACAAAGTCATTAAAATCACACAATAAGTAGGTGGGACCCTAATCCTGGCAGTGAAGCTCTATTGGCCATTTTCTTGACTACTTCTACTACATTGCTTCCTAAAACACATACAGTCTTACACATTTGAGGCTCCTTGAGCAACTGAAATATTTTATCACTGAGATTTTCTGTTCTTTTGGATATATTGGAAAGTTGCTGAAACACTTAGAATTTTGCTGCATGTGTTGTATTGTTGGCTAGTGATGAAAAAACGAGTTCAGAACTTTTATCAGAAACTGGTATGTGACCTTGTAAAATATGTGGGTCATATTTTACTGACTCATTACCTCGTGGGTAGAATGGGGATGAGACTGTCATTGCATTCTGGAGGTAGGAAGCTTGCCCATGTGATTTTTAGAGCTCTGCATTATAATTGTTCTCCAAGAAAGTGGAAATCTCTGAAATGAAAGCACTGTTTGTGATAAGAGTTATTCAGTGAACCATAGAACTTGAGGAAGTTATCAAGCTTTCCACTTGGATAGCCCTTTACAAAGCATTTTGGAGCATGTCTTCTCACAGTTCAGTGGGGAGGAGAAAACACACTTCTTCCTTATATAAATAAGGATTTGAGGGTCAGCCAGGTAGCATGACTTGCCAGTCACAGATCCAGATGTAGAACCAGGGATAGAATTGTGTCTTAAATCTAATCTGGGGATCTTTTAACTATACACCATGCTGTTTTCTAATCTTCCTTCCTTCTTCCTAATTGATATGCCCCAAAGCATCCCAGCAATATCAAAGTCCGTTTCTCTTTTAACAGTGCTCAGGGTGATACTTTTTTTCATTCCAGGCTGTTTACGTTTCTCTTTTCTCCTTGTCCACCTATTTCATTATCTGGAAATTCTTCTGACATCAGTATATGATAGAAACAAGTGATCACTACTTTATATAAAAGTTTGTAATATGCTAGTACTTAAATCTGTCAAATTTTCTTTTTTTTTTTTAAGAATTTTTTTTTTTTTAATGTTTTATTTATTTCTAGGAGAGAGAGAGAGAGAGACAGCGTGAGCAGGGGAGGGTCAGAGAGAGAGGGAGTCACAGACTGAAACAGGCTCCAGGCTCTGAGCTGGCAGTCAGCACAGAGCCTGACGCGGGGCTCGAACCCACGAACCGCGAGATCATGACCCGAGCGAAAGTCGGACGCTTAACCAACTACGCCACCCGGGCGCCCCAAATCTGTCAAATTTTCTATCTGCTTTATAATTAATCCTGTTCATTGAGATTTTCTCATGTTACAGAATAGTGTTTCGAAGTATTCTCTCTTAATTACAGTAACTTTTTAAAGTTGAAGAACACTAAGAACAGTATCCCCAGTTCTGAGAAAACAAGCTTTCAGGGCGCCTAGGTGGCTCCGTCAGTTAAGTGACTGATTTGGGCTCAGGTCATGATCTTGTGGTTCGTGGGTTTGAGCCCAGCATCAGCCTCTGTGCTGACAACTCAGAGCCTGGAGCCTGCTTCAGGTTCTGGGCTCCCTCTCTCCCTCTCTCTCTGTCCCTCCGCCACTCATGCTCTGTCTCATTCTCTCAAAAATAAACAACAAAAAAGGAAAACAAACTTTATATTATTCCATAGTTTTAATTCTAAAAAATTGATAAAGGCAGCTGCTAGATTCATTTTATAGAACATGAAGTATTGATTTCATGGACTCAAGTTGGAGCACTTAAGAAAGGTTTACGTATAGGGTGAAAAAGTGAAATGTTGTGGTCGAGCTCTATTAGGCATTGTAAATGCCCAGATGAGGTTGTTACCATGCAAAAGTATGGTGTTTTCTTAACATTTGGAGAGCTTCCTCTGGTCTGGTACAAGGTCGTAGGAGAGTGTGAGCTGTTCTGAAGTCTGTATAGTCCACGAACATGGCCGAAAACATTTCCAGTTCAGTTGATTCACTGGAAGAATTTGTATGGTTAGTGGCAAGGTTGTGAGCAGAATCCCAACAGGTACAAGTACAGAAAAAAAAAAGGAAATCCCAAATATTCAAAGTGGATAGTGTACGGCACTTTCTCTTGTAACATTAGTGGGCCAGCCTCCTAGAGTAGCTGTTCCTCTGGCTGCCATTCATACTGTATGCACCCAAGGCTTTGTGACACGAAAGCTCTGCACTTCACCTCTGCCATTCTTACGCTGCCTTTGCCCCATTCACTTTTTCCTCTATCCAGTTTTTCCTCGTTTTCTTTCTTTTGCCTCTGAATCCAAGATTTGTTGGGTAGGGTAAAGAAAGAGGGCTTCTGCGTGTGTATGATTTTGCTTTCGATGATAGCTTAAATGATTACAGAATTGGTATGTAAGACTTTATATACCTATTATATCTAATCTTTACAATTCAGAAATACCTTGTGCTTTGAAAAGTGGAATGAAAATTAGCTGAGCTTGGATTCCTATTGTGAGATACAGGTTTGGGACTATTATTATAAATAATAAATAATTAAAAAATTTAATACTACTACTTATTCATGACCTTAATCAGGTTAGAACATTTTACATAAAACTAGTATGATTGGCTTCGATGTTCACATAAGTAATTTTTTTTCTTTTTTAACTAGGAAATACATTTAACAAAATGGCAAAGTGGGTAAAACGGGACAATGAAACAGGGATTTATTACGAGACATGGACCGTCCAGGCCAGCCCAGAAAAGGGGGCGGAGACATGGTTTGAATCCTACGACTGTTCCAAATTCGTGTTGAGGACATATAACAAGTTGGCTGAACTTGGAGCCGAGTTCAAGAAGATAGAAACCAACTACACCAGAATATTTCTTTACAGTGGAGAACCTACTTATTTGGGAAATGAAACGTCTATTTTTGGGCCAACAGGAAATATGACTCTTGCTTTAGCCATAAAAAGGTTTTATTACCCCTTCAAACCACATTCATCAACTAAAGAATTTATGTTTAGTCTCTTGCAGATTTTTGATGCAGTGATTATACACAGACAGTTCTATTTGTTTTATAATTTTGAATATTGGTTTTTACCTATGAAATTCCCTTTTATTAAAATAACATATGAAGAAATCCCTTTACCTAACAGAAACAAAACACTCCCTGGTTTATAAAACTTTAATTCTTCTGCTTTTTTTTTTTTCTCCTGTCACCAGCATATGTTTTTCAGGTAGTGTTTTTCATTCGTGGATTTCTTAGGCCCTTCTTCTTGGAGCAGAAAGGTAGAATGCACCTGGGCAGAACTGCAGCATAGCATCTCAGGACTTTTTTTGGAGAGGAGCTGAAACTCTCAAATGGCATTAGCCTAAGTGAGCCTGTTAGGTGATCTTGATTTCAAACTCCAAGACTTTGTTAAAATGAATTACAGTTCATATCAGATACATAGGACCTTTGGACCCCATCTTTTTAAATTGTGGATATGGTATGCCAAGATTTTAAAAAATACCCTCAGTGACATTTTCATGGTGAGGGCTACTTTTTTCTGGCAGTTACAGTTTTTCCTTTAAGTACTTTTTGGTGGTTTAGACAGACTTTGCAACTTTTGTAACTGGGGACCATTCTAGTGGTTGATTCTGTTCTTTTACTTAAAGACTAATTTGGACACTGTGGCTGGAGTGGTTTTGCTTCCAGAGGTGGTAAAAACAGTGTTAAAGAGCACAAGTTTCTAGCTAGCATTTTAGAACTAGCCAGTAACTGGCATTTTGTGATGCAGGCAGCTTAGCATTTCTGAACCTTATCTCTGAGATGAGTCCTCTTTTAGGATTGTTGTAAAAATTGAAGCTATGTATGTCTGGCATAGGAAAGTTACAGAAAATGGTAGCTATAGTGATGAATCAAAGCACATACCACTGTCCTTGATCTGGCTAAATGTAGTTTACATGCCAACCTTTCCTGGGTTTTACAGTAATAATCTAAACTTTGAGCTGACAGCTTTAATGCTTCTGCAGTTGTTCAAGCACATGGGACACAGAAGTACCTGACTGCAGACATGTCTGGGTGAATAGGCACCCTCTGACAGACTTCTTTACTGCTTTGTGTAGTCCTTCACCCGGCAGAGATCCCAGTTTGGTAGGAGGGTATACTTCTCAGAGGACAGATCTCCCAAGTAGCGGGGCTTCCATTTAGTGCCATCAGACAAGGTTTCAGGGTCCTTTAAATGTCTGATGACCAACTGAACACTGTCTATTCATGGAAAAAAGGCCAGTTAGTAAGATGATGAAGCAGAGACCATCCGTTTTAATATGTAAATTATGTCCTTCAGTTTCTACTAACATTTGAGTGCCTCCTGAGAGAGGTTAGTACATTACCATTGAGTTCTCCTACAAAGCCTAACCACAGGTATTATTTACCTGATCAAATGAGTAAATTGGAGCTTAGAAAGTCTAAATGACCTTTCCAGGGCTACCCTGCTAATGGTACTGGAACCACATTTTGAACCAGTTCTGCTGACTGGATGGGAAACATGATCCCATCCAAGGACCCACTGGATGGTTTCCAGTGGCAAGGTTTCATTGTCAAAATGAAGTCCTCAGACCAATGCCTGCACCATAAGTTACTACTAAAACCACAGGTTACTGGTCAAGCATAGATATTGATGGGAAACTTCTTTTAAAGTAATCTTGTCTTTGTTGACTCTAATAAAAAAAAAAGGGGCTTGTAATTTTGTAGGTCTTTGTTTCATTTGTCAAAGAATTCATTTTTATTGTCTTTTTTAAAACTACAGGCACCACAACAGTCTAAAAATAAAAGCCCAACCCTTTACCACAGATAGCTTGAGAAGCACTGGATTATTCTGCCTACTGCACAGAGGCAAAGTCATGCTGAAATACATAGGGAGAACTTTACGTCACTGCCTACCATTTAGCCTTTGTATTCCTGGTAATAGTGTAAAGACTCCTACTTAATTTTGCCTTTTAACTTGCTGGTTGTCTTCAGAATGTCAACAAACTTGGATCTTTGCGTTATCACCACCTAGTGGCTGAAATCAGGCAATGCCAACTTCTGGATTCTTGAGAAAACTGATCTGGGAAAATAGAATTTTGGATTTTCTAGAACTGCATTGGGGTAACATGCAAAAACTCTTGTGCTAACTATAAAGCACAGGACTTGGTTCTGTAGCAAAGGCAAATGAGGATACCTGGACATGGAACCTGAGTTTTAAAGCAAGGTTCTAAACAGTTACATTAAATTCAAGATTTTTCAGTTCCTATGAATATTAACAACTGGAGACATTTTGTGAAATAGGTAGACTCAGGTAACTAGAGCATAGAGAGCATAAAATTCATATTAGTTCTTCTTAAGATTTTATCAAACTTGTCAACTGTACTTACAAGGTGAAGCAGGGCTTTTGGAGTAGAGATGATTCAAGAACATGCTTTCAAAACGGTAGTTGAGAAACCAAAATATGGCCAGGCGGGAATTTGCCAATTCTACCATGTAACTTAAATGTGATTTCTATTTTTCTGTTAAGTTACAAATGTATAAAATTTATTGCTAAAAAACCATTCTGTTGGAAGTTTGGGCATTCTGTTGGGCTTTAAATTAATATATCCTCACTTAACTAATTCTGGCTAGTATTAAGTATACTCAAAGTGCCATCAAGTATAATTTAATACGTACATACAGGAACACAGTCAAAAGGTTAAAACTGCTAAACATTAAATATTTGGAAACTTCAATATTGGCTCCTTTGAAATCAGGAAGTAAGGTCTTAGTAAAAGTCAGTTTTATAATCTGATCTGGTGGCACTTAATGAATTTTTTGGGACTTCAGTTCCTTTAAGATGACTTTTTTTTTTTTTTTTAAGATTGTTGGTATGTTATATAAAGAACAATGTTCCAAAACCACACACATGCTTTTTCCCTGTTCAGAGCCAAAGTTTGGCTGGGCTGGCCAGTTTGTTTCCGCCATCTTCCTATTTAACCTTCATTGTCCAAATAGGTTGCTGTGTTCTCAAACCTTCCTATCTACATTTTCTCTCCCCTACTTAAAACAAGATAGGCTATTAATCTTACATTCTTTTACTTGATTGATTATTCTGAGGATAAGCTCTTAGTTCACTTGTGGAGTAAAGGGCTTTGTGTCCACTTTATATGCCCTAAGACCTGTCCTTGTGTTTAAAGTAAAGTTGGGTGTCAGGAAGCAGGTAAAATTTTTCTGGCTGCTTGATAACTTTAAAACCACATATAAACTGAATCTGGAGTCTGCAAAGATTGTTCCCAGCTACGTATGGGGTAGGAGTTACTTACAGCTTCTTAAAAGCCCTAGTTCATGAGGCACCCGGGTGGCTCAGTTGGTTGAGTATCCAACTTGGGCTAAGGTCATGATCTCACCCTTAATGCGTTCAAGCCCTGCACTGGGCTCTGTGCTGACAACTCAGAGCCTGGAGCCTGCCTTGGATTCTGTGTCTCCCTCTCTCTTTGCTCCTCCCCTGCTCGTACTTTGTGCCTCTCCCTTTCTTAAAAATAAATAAAAACCTTAAAAAAAAAAATGACCTAGTTCAGGCCTGAGCCTTCTTCACACCAACCCCTCCCATGTATCTATTCTAAGCTTTTCCATAAATACAAAAAATTATTTTTGAATGCAATAAATTGATTTAATCTTTGGTCATGCCTTTTTTTTTCCTGATAGTATTGTTACTATCCCAGATTACCAAGGGAAATTGAAGTTATTTTCTGGAAGTTGTTAAAATAGGAAATGAAAATAATTTCAATAGTTTAAGAATTATTCTTTTTAAATTTTTTATGTTTATTTTTGAGAGAAAGGCAGAGACAGATTGAGCAGGGAAAAGGGCAGAGATAGAGAGAGACACAGAATCAGAAGCAGGCTTCAGGCTTCTGAGCTGTCAGCATAGAGCCCAATGCGGGGCTCAAACTCACAAACCATGAGATCATGATCTGAGCCAAAGTCGAATGCTTAACTGACTGGGCCACCCAGGTGCCCCAGAACGATTCTGATTCTATGAATTTATGTAAGACATTTCTCTATGAAAAGGCTATCTGGGTTCAAGGACTTTCACTAAGAATTCTATTTCAAAGTAATCTGTTTTATAAATTCTTATTCTAAAAACAAAGAGCCTATTCTTTTTAACAACCATTTACAAAATTTGAAAAGTAAGTTTACATTTCATGGTGAGTTTTTATTTTCTATCACTTTAGTCATCAGAACTTATTTCAAGAATAGACCTCATTTACCTAATCTTACATCTTTATAATAGTCATTTTACCATAAACATATTCAAAATTAAACACTGTATTCATCAAATATAAATTTGAAACTAAAACCATAAGTTTATAAGTTTAACTTGTTGGGAAACCAAATCTATATATGTTAGTGTAGTATAATTAAAAATTATAATAATACAACAGCATTAGTAACTATCTTTATTCTCAAATTGATAAAAGCATTTAACATATACTTACAGTATAAACAAAGTAAGTGCTATGCATTTTGCTTATAAAGTGACTTAAGGTATTTCAAGCATTATATAATTCAGTTTGTACAAAAAAGTAAATTTCTAAGTAAAGCTTTGGTTAGTAGAACTGATTATGTACTGTCAAATCCATTTTCCAAAGTTGTTCAAGGGAAAAAAGGCTTATCCACTATCACATGTATTTCTTGTATAAAGCTTTTGACTATTTAGTAGGAAGGGAAAATACTACAATAATTGCATTTAATTTCCAAGTCTGGATCAGCCTCTTTTCTTCTCATTTGCATGTGGCCAGAACTTTTGAAAAGTATAAATTAGGTAGAAAATCACCTCTTACTTTATTCTTAGGAAGGTAATCTATTTAAAAAATAGATTAGAGCTGTAAGACTGTTAGCTTCCATAATGATGCTTTCTAAAAGTTTCAAGCATTACTATATTATTCCATTGGGGGTAAATCACTTCTAATTTCCCTTAGGAAGGTAACATCTACTAGCATTAGTGCTCAGAATCAAAGCTTATATAATACCTAAAAACAACTAAATGTAGCCCCAAACTTAGTATTTTTTATAGCAATGTATGGTTTACCTTTATTCATATGAAATAAAAATGCTACCTAACTTAAATAATATAAAATAGCATTTTAACCAAATTAACAATCACAAAATTGCAGACATTGTTCTATTAAAATTTTCCAGTCCACTGAGTGATATTTACTCAAAAATATGATTATGAACTTAAATATATCCTGTGTTGAGTTCACTTGTTTATACTGAACAAGTGGTGTTCCTTTTATGATTTTTGAAATTCTACTTATGTAACTATTTAATTCCAAAATGGAAAATGAGCCATCACTAAAATTCACTGGAGAATAATATTCTTTCATGGAAATAATTTATAAACATTTTAAAGTTCTACCTTTAATTACCTCAATTTGGCTTTTTTAAATAGATAAGCTTTTCATTTCAATTAATGTATATAATACTCAAAACTAGCTTAAACAAAGAAACAAAACCAAGGAAAACTGGCAAAGCATTCCTTACTTTACATAGGATGCCTCAAAGTGTCACATACATAGTAATATATCACAGAAGAGAATTTATATGGTTTAGCAGATTATCGAGCAAACCTGAAAGTTTATACAAAACTAAACACTGCCTCCCTTCTGTTTATTTTCTTTTAATTTGATCTTGGCTCTGTTTATTATCCTTCTATAATAACCACTGTGTGACACAAACCAATTTTCTAATAGATCCAATTACTTATACATATCTCTTTAAACAGCTCTGTAACATATCTGAGAACATTCAACCAATTTCTTTCATTCGATATGATATAGCCTACATTTTTCTCACAAAATGCTCACTGTCCTGAGCTATATTAAACACCTTATAACAGGTGTATGTATAACTGAAGACCCTAAAATGTCAAGTTTACATTTTAAAAAAATGCATAGAAAACATAACATTTTGGAAAACTTCTTAGTACTCACTTCTCGGATATTATATAGGTTTTGTTTCTTTCAGGCTGTAAAATGTTTCATCTTTATAATGGACTATTACTTTCAGATCTGAACCACATTTAAAAAATTTTTTTCTGAGATTTGACTGCTGTTAGGCTAAAGAAACAGATGAAGTTTTCTGACCAAAAGTGGTCTATGGGTCTTCCAATAAACAATCCTTATATATTCAATGCAGGTATCAAATTTCCATGCCACAAAATAGTAGAATTACATCAGAACTATAGGAAATAAACTCTTATTATAATACAATATCCTTAATGTTAAGGTGCTATTCATCATGCCCTACATCACTCAGTCTTTACCAAGTAGGCATCATGTCTGGAAACCACACCCTACCAAGATGCTTGGACACCTCCCAATGGATCTGCTCCAAGCTGTATTTTTGGTCAGGAATTAATACTTCTTCCATAATGGATAATTGAGACAGGCGGCCACCACACATCTTCACAAACTCAACAAAGGCACTACATGAGACTTCACATTCCCCTAGTCCGATAGCTGACAAATTTTTACAACGTTCTGCTATGCGAATTAACTCTTCATCAAGTGGCCGTAATCCATTAGCACATACTACTAGTTCAACTAGTCTAGGGCATGTCATTCCCACACGGCCAAGCACATCTTTGCTTACTGATCTCCCAAAGTAAAGATGGGTGGCAGGTATTTCATACCGAAAGAATGGATCAAATTCCTCTTCATATAAAAAAAAATACATCACTAAGTTCACTTTTGGTGAATGTCTGATGAAAGCATCCCAGCTGCTTTTCTGAATAGTATGGAAGTGTGTCTGTCCAGGATTCTCACTTACTACATCAATGCGCAAATGTTCTAATCGAACATGTTTTTCAGAAGATAAAGCCAGCAGCAATTCATCACTTAGCAAGTGGTAATTCAGAGCCAGCTCACGTAAGCCGTGACACTGATCAGCCACACAAAGGATGCCTAGGAAGAAAAAAGACCTAATTATTTACAAATTTTTGTACAAGTTCATTATCTGTTCAAAAAATTTAATCAAGTACGTGTCTTCAAAAAAATATTACCATATTTCCCTTACAAAGCTCTACAGTTTAAAATTTGGTTATATGGCTGAACTAGCAGAAAGTCACAAACATTTAAAAACCTATTACTAGGGGCGCCTGGGTGGCTTAGTCGGTTAAGCANTTGAGTCACAAAACAGGTGGGATTTGAGGATTCTTCAAAGTCCTCTTGTAGCCAGGCAGTGCCGTGGCAAGCCACGCTAGAGCGTAAGACAAAAAGGAAAGTCACTGGCACTGACATTATCTTTATTTAAAATGTTTGAATGTTGGGGGCGCCTGGGTGGCTTAGTCGGCTAAGCGTCTGACTTTCGCTTAGGTCATGATCTCGCGGTTCGTGGGTTCGAGCCCCGCGTCAGGCTCTGTGCTGACTGCCAGCTCAAAGCCTGGAGTCTATTTCAGAGTCTGTGTCTCCCTCTCTCTCTGACCCTCCCCTGCTCACGCTGTCTCTCTCTCTCCTAGAAATAAATAAAAATATTTTAAAAAATAAAAAAAATAAAACCTATTACTAATTCTGTCTGTAAGAAAATGAGACCAATTCTAAACCTCATACCATAAAAAGATATAAGGCTCACTTATCAACTTACAACAATTAAGAATTTTTTTTACAGTTTATTTAGAGAGAGAGAGAGACAGTGCAAGTAGGGGAGGGGCAAAGAGAGAGACAGAGAATCCCAAGCAGGCTCAGGGATGTCAGTGCAGAGCCCGATACAAGGCTCAAACTCATGAACCTGTATGACTATGACTTGAGCCGAAACCAAGAGTCAGACACTTAACCAACTGAGCCATCCAGGCACCTCAACAATTATAAATTATTAATAAATACAGATGACCCTTGAACAACACAGGGGTTAGGGGCACTGACTACTGTATAGTTGAATATGTATAACTTTTGACTTCTCACTTCATTATTAATAGCCAACTGTTAGCCAGATATAACATAGTCAATTAATACATATTTGTGTAATATATACTACATTCTTACAACAAAGTTAGAGAAAAGAAAATATTAAGAAAATCATACAAAGAAATATATTTACAGTAGAATACTGTATTTATGAAAAATCCACATGTATGTGGACCCACAGTTCAAACCCATGTGGTTCAAGGGTTCGGTGTATGTTAATGTACCATAACAAAGGTTTACCCCAGTAATGCATAGACAGTGTCATATTAAAAAAAAAAAATTGATTATTGGGGCGCCTGGGTGGCTCAGTCGGTTAAGCGTCTGACTTTGGCTCAGGTCATGATCTCACGATTCGTGGGTTCGAGCCCCATGTCAGGCCCTGTGCTGCCAGCTCAGGGTCTGGAGCCTGTTTCGGATTCTGTGTCTCCTTCTCTCTCTGGTCCTCCCCTGTTCACGCTGTCTCTCTCTCTCAGAAATAAATAAAACATTTAAAAAAAAATTGATTATTAACACCAAACTTATAGATTAAGCAAGAAAAATTACATGGTCATCGCTACAGAGGCCAAAAGACACTTTTGGAAATTAAAAAACTAATTCTAATTAAAAAGAAAAAAATGTAAAGCCATATAAAAGAATCTTATGTAACTAAAAACTTTTGAGAGGTTTTTAAAAAAGGTTTCTATCAAGTGAGCAACAAAGAGTTTTTTAACAGCTAATAGTATGTAATAAACATCAAATTTCTAAAAAAAAAAAAAAAACCAAGATACCACTAGATAAATGACTCAAAGTTAACTAACCAATTTCCATTAATGGATATAGTAATTATAACTAACAAACTCTAATATATCCAGAAATCAGTTCCATAAATGGTTCCCACACTGTGCTTCAGAACTGCCCCAAACCCCGATCAAGCAGATCTAATCTCTGAAATGGCCTCGTATTGGAATTCTATCCCAGGGAGCCTGTAGTACTTGATATATGACCCAGTCAAACCATTTCTTTTCTTGTGTTTAGAAACAAGGATAGAAACAAAACATACATCATATTATCTATTATTTATTGTACAAGTATGATATGTCAGGTACTAGATACGGTACACCATATATACTCAAAAAAATCTAGAAAAATAAATTATTTCTATTTTGAAGTTGATGCAGCTACAGACAAACACAGACTGAGTGACTCTTAAGTTCATGCGCTTAACTACTACTTGAGAAGTGACAAGACAGAGGCACCAATAAGCCAAAGCTTAACAGCAGTGGGAAAATATAGGCAAAGAAATCAATAAAGAGATAGCCTGAATCACAAAAGAGTCCCCGAAAGAGGGAATAAGACATCTGTGCTTTACTATTCAGCCACTACAAAGTTTCTGTTCTCTACAAGGGATGTATGTACTTTGAAATAAACCCTCATTACCCAAGGTAACCTGAACACATCTCTGTTCTTTGCAATCTTATAAAGCTTGATATAAACAGAAAACAAATACATGGGGCATGGTAACCAAAGATGCAAATAGAAGAAACTGAGATATCATTTAATAACTATTAAAGTAGTTCTGGGGCACCTGGGTGGCTCAGTCAGTTAAGTGTCTGACTTTGGCTCAGGTGATGATCTCACATTTTGTGAGTTTAAGCCCTGCATTAGGCTCTGTGCTGACAGCTCAGAGCCTGGAGCCTACTTCAGATTCTGTGTCTCCTTCTCTCTCTGCCCCTCCCCAACTTGTGTTCTCTCTCTGTCTCTCAAAAATAAATAAATGTGGGAAAAAAACTTAAAGCAGTTGTGGCAGGCATAATTCTGAAAGTGGTCCCTAAGAATTTACAACCTAATCCCTAGCACCTGTAAGATACCACTCCCATGATTACATTATATAGCACAGTTGACTTTAATATGATTGTCCAGGCGGTTCTAATCTAATCACATGAGCCCTTTAAAAGCTGAGTTTTCTTTGGCCAGTTACAGAAAAGTAGTCAGTCTCAGAGCTTCTCTGGCTATGCAGAGAAGCTAGCTAAGCAATGGCTGTAGCTCTGATCTACAGAGCTGTGACACTACCAAAAGAGTGTCAGTTTAACGTGCTAAATTTGTAGTTGTTAGTTATGCAGCAATAGGAAACTTAAACAGTTACTATATAATTCAGCAATTCCACTCCTAGGTATATACCCAAAAGAAATTAAACCATCTGTCCACACAGAATCTTATAAAGGAATTTTCAGAGCAGCACTGTTCATAATAGTCAAAAGGTGAAAATAATGCAAATATCGATCAAATGATCAATAGATAAACATGGTACAATCCATACAAGGGAATATTTGGCAATAAAAAGAAATGAAACACTGATACATGCTAAAATGTGTACAGAAACCAATACGTTTTGGGTATTGTACAGAAACAATACCAAATATTGTTGGTAGTATTATAAATTCATACAACTCATTTAGAATACAGCAAAAAGCATAAAAAAGATCTGGACCCTATGACCTAGTTCTTCCACTTAATCATCTGTCCTATGGAAGAAATTGATAGACACAAACTGCTATGTGCCAAAATGGTTCATTTTTTAAATCACAGCAAAAACGTAGAAACAAGTATCCAACCTTAAAAGAATTATAAGGCAAATGTTGGCTTATCAAGAACACAGGACACTAAGTAACTAAATGTTCATTAGTTCAGCTATTAATTAATGAGTGTCTTATATGTCAAGCACAGGTGCTAGGATGGTAAAGATACAACATGAACAAAACGTCCTTATCCTAACAGCAGGCAGCAGATAATTAAACAAGAATGCTCTGGGAGTCATAACAAGGGAAATCAGGGAAAGTTTCCCAGAACTAACACAGTGAGACATAGAGAATTAGAAAGCACAAGCTAGAACAAAAGATACGGGAGAAGGAAAGTGAACAGTATTTCCTGTGTGAACTACCCACATATGGAAGAAACACAAGCATTCCAAGAACTGAAGCATTTCAAGCCTTCAGGTCAACATACAGTATGAAAGTAAGGTAACATCTTAAAGGATGAAGCCCTACAGAGAGGCAAGGGCTAGATCATATGGGACCTTGTCAGCCTCAGCTTGGATATTATCTAAAGCACAGTGAGAAGACCTGAAGAAAACTGGAGAAAAAAATCTGATTTATATTTTAGAAAGATTACTCTGTAGCATGGAAAACACATTAGAGAAGAACAAGCTGCAAGTTAGGAAATTAGTATAAGAGGGTACTGCACAAAGATTACCAGGACCTGTACTAGACGAGTAAGAGTAGAGATGAAGAAGGCAGAATGTCTTAGTTCGAGCTGCTTAAGAGAATACCACAGACAGGGTGGCTGAAGCAATAAACATTTACTCTTCACAGTGCTGGAGCCTGGAAGTCCAATCTGGATGCTAGCATGGTAAGATTCTGATGAGGTCCACAACTCTTCCTGGCTTGTGGATAGCCACCTTCTCCCTGTGTCTTCACATGGTGAAAAAGAGATCATCTCTCTCCTCTCTCTTCTTATAAGAGCACTAATGCCATTTATGAGACCTCCACCCTCATGACCTATCTCCCAATCTACCTCTAAATACTACCACACTGCAGCCTAGGGCTTTACTAATATGAATAGGAGACCTGGGAGAGGTCTGAGGAGGGGATCAACACAAATCTTCAGTCCACAGTGTAGAACTCAAGGCATATTTCAATGATGGAATCACCAGGCCTTGGTGACTAAAGGGATGTAGAAAGGAAGGGTAGGAAGAATCAAGGATGTCTGTCAGGTCCTTGACAACTAGATGGATGGAGCCATTTACTGAGACAGCACAAAGGAAAAAAAGCAAGAGATTTAGATAGGGGGAGAAGAAAATCCATTCTTCTGAAGTACCAGTGAGACATTCTAGAGGAACTGGGCCACTGGCAGCTCAACACATAGTTCTGGAGTTCCAGAGACACTGTAAGTAGGAAGTGTTAACATACAGAAAATAACTGACACCACAGACGATGATAACACAGCCCAGAGCTCACATAGTAAGACAAAAAGGACTCAGCACAGAACACAGTGAAACACCAAAATTTAAGGAATGAAAAGAGAAATCACCAAAAAAAATGGTAGGAACAATCAAAGAGGAAGAAAGAAAACAAGACATAATATGGTACAAGAGTCAACAGGCACTAGCGTCAAATGGTAGTAGTAGTAGTAGACATCAAGTAGTAGACAATTATAAGGACTATGTGAAATAGGAAAAATTGTTTGATAAAATATTCAGTGACTAAAGAACAGAAAAAAGCTCTTAATTTCAACTTAGAAAAAGAAATAATCCCAATATGCAAAATATAGAAAGAAAATATGCAAATATGTTAAATTTTAAATTAAAATCGTCTAAGGTTATATTCTTAAATTTAAAAGTATTTCAAGTGCTCTATTTCATTTCCTTTCCCTTCCTGAACAACTTGCCCAAAAGCCATGAGGTAAGATCAAGCAAGTTTATACTATTCTATCACAACTGATGTGTGTATTTAATAAAAGTAAATGAATATAAGATGTAACAGCATAAAGAGAATAATGAACTCATAGTCTCACTGAGAAACCAGAGACCCAAAGCTCTCATATAGAGTGGGAAGTGCTGTTAAGTTACATTCTTAACCACACATGGTGGTTCTAAACCAGAGAGGAGAAAATAAGAACAAAACCGGATCATCTGAGCTGAATTCTAAAGGCTGGCCTAGAGTTGCTGGATTAAGAAATGGGAGGAAAAAAAGTATTCCACAAAGCACAGTGCACTAACCACACACACACAGGTACAAAGAACTGTAGTTGTATAGGACTACAGTAAAAGCTATATGTGAGTGAGTAGCAAACAAGATTAAAGAGATAGGTGGAGGTCAAGATACAAAAGACCCTGTACATTATAAAGCTATGAAGTATGGACCTTGCTCCCATAGCAACCCATATAGTACACAGAAAATGTGCCAAGGTCATGTAAGAAGTAACTGCCCAAAGTCTATTCTTCTTAAGTTCCAGACTATTTAGATTATCATCTTCAGTAATAATCTGGAAGTGGCAGAAGCAGCTAGGGAAATACTGCAATAGCCATTCCTGTCACCAACATCCTCCCTGTAGGAGAAGTAGGACACTGTGTAAGTAATCTCCATCCAAGAGGAAATCACTTTCTTGGGGGAAGGCCAGGCTTTAGTCATGGCAAGAAGGTAGGAAGTATTTTGTAAAGACATCAAGGATTTAACATCGTCTTTTAAAAATAGGTTTCCCAAATAACACAGCCAAAAGACTGGGAGGGATGTCAACAGCGGGAGAATGTGTCAGAAGTGAAGCATCAGAAAGTAGTAATACCAAGTGTGAGTTTATACTTATTTTACAATACAAACTATTTGAAATTTAAGTGATCTGCAACTGAATAATGAATGAATTAATGCTCAGAAAATTCTATACAAGAAAAGTTGGAATGAGCTTTCCCAATGCTATTCCCCATTTGATGGGTTCTTGGCTCCAAAATTCAAATTAGGAAAAGGGTTATCTTGCAAAATGTAAGGTGGCAACTTCAACGCAACTCTCCTCCCTTTCCGCAGTGAGAAGAAAAGCAATTATGAGATTGCTCTGATTCAAAACCTACCTGGCTGGCTCAACTACAATTAAAGAAAGTTCTATTTTACCTAAAGGGCACCTCATGCAAATCTAATACTGTCCTTTTTTTTTTTTTTTTTTAATTTATCCATTTTCTAGCACAGATTGGACACAAGCTGCTAAATAAGAGTAAAAACTAAGTTGAAACTAAGTGTCTAGGCTAGGAATGCTACAGAAATTTATGCTACTGTATTATGACATTAAAAATTTGTTTATGCATATTTTATGCAGCTCTCAAGGAGATGAAATAATCATATTAACCTACCCTCAAGTTTAATGATCAGTTTTAATTTAATACATCTGTACATTTTAGTAAAATGTTACCTGGCAAAAAAGACAACATACCTGCAGGAGAGACATGAGGACAGCTGCTCATTTTCAGCAGCTTGAGTGTATCGCTGTTGTTGGCCACTAGTACTTTGAGGGATGGATCATCTACTGGGGTATCATCTATCTTAAGCGATGACAAGGATTTGGAATTTACAAACACTACTGTCAGTGCAGAAATAAAGTGAGACTGAAAAGCAAAAAAATGGAAAAAAAAAAAAGCTTCATTATGAGACATGAGAATTGGGGGGGGGGGGGGGGTGTTCATATAAGACATATATGGTTCATGTGACCGCTAATGATATATTCCATAACTGTTTTAGGGGTAGCATTCTGACACTCCGTTGTTGGGGATATCTTAAAAAATGGAGGTGATTATTTGCTGTATTTGAGAAAAGCTTTTTTACCTGTAGAAAAAAGAGATTTCAAGCCTCTAAATCACAATAATGACTGGTAAGTAAAAAGATGAATTACAGAATCCGATGAGAATACGTCCAGTGTTTTGTGACACTGAACTGCATTCTTTTTTGGTCTGATAGTTAATGACCATTAAAATAGTAATAAAATTATTAGCATAATCATTAGAAATTAAAATATCAACTCAGACTCACTTAGAATACAAAAAGCTCATGGAAAAATTGATTCTAAAAGAAGCAAAATCATACCTAAATAAAATTCCAAGTTTAAAACTCCTTTAAATATGTTAAATTATGTATAATATTTTCAAGCCATTTATCTTAATGTATTTTTCCACAAATGTACCAATTATTATTATTCCATTTATTATATACATGTAATATTTCTTGGACACAGAATATGACCTCAAGGAACCACTGTAGGGCAGCAGGAATCAAAGCATGGTCAGAGTATGTAACATGGAATCAGCTAAAACCAACAGACAAAGAATCCAGGAGTAGGAAAGAGAGGTCAACATATGCTCCAACACTTTCCTCTAGATAACCAACCTCAAGCTCCACTTAGCTTTATAAATTCACTACAGCAATGAAAAGGAATGAGGGCAAGCTAAGAGCCAATAAAGTACAAGGAAACATCATTTTCATGATGACATTCCCTAATTTTCCTCCACAATTAAATAACTGGTTAACTACTTAAATTTTGATTAAATAACTTTTTGCCTATTTAAATGTTAACTCTTTCTCCTAATATATTCACCTCAAACTCAATTATATCTATACAATCACATTTCATTAGTACACTCATGACTGCATCTCTGCGTTCTTTTTCCCATTTCCCTCAGATTTAATACCTCTGGTCAAATATACTTCTTTCATGTTCTCTACAACTCTTCCAGGATTTCCAAGGCATAGCAACACCCTATTTCAATCTTCTACAAGAGGCAAAATTGAGGGTGGGGGCCGGTGAGGAATAACATGAGCATCTTAGGCCCATTTAATAAGGAAAGAAGCCATTCCAGATGCATCATAGTTCCCAAAGACAAAACTACTACATGTAATTACAGTACTAGCATCTGTATAATGATAATCCTGGGTAATAAGGAAAAAAAGGGAAATTAAATTTGTTCAGCATACCTTATAATATGGTATGTTTTACATATACCATATGTGTTTTTTAACTATGGTATATACATAGAAAATCAATTCAAAATATATCATTTCCCATATGAAGCATGAACAAGGTGCTACTATGCCATGTAAGTCAGTGCTCTCAGAATCTCCTGGATGGCTCACAGGAAGGGGAAATTCGAATAGGGAAAGTAACCCAAAATTTCCAAATTTCTTAGATGATTTTCATGCACATTAAGTTTGAGAACCTCAGGGCTCTGACTCATGTACTTAGAATCTTAAAATGCTGAACAGAATCTCTATTTCCCTTATTTTACAGGAGGAAAACATTTTATCTCAAATGTATGTATTTAAAGAACCTTTTTAAAAACCAATTAAGACTTTGAAATCAACTGGTGAGACATTTGTTACGAATATTTCATTCCATAACCACCTGAGTTATAATACACACTCAATTTAGTACTATTTCTTCCTGAATCATCCTAGTAAATAAAACTGTTACATATGTAAAGGGGTATCTCTTAGTTTGCAGTGCACTCTGAAAAAAAACTTTCAAATTACTGTTGTGTGCTAACCTATCCAACATTAGCTAACACACCCAGGAGGCCTTTATCAGTTGCCTTTCTAAAAATCCACTTATTTTTCTATCTTAAGAGTCTAGTTATTAGATATACCATCTTATTATATGCAGGCTCATGTTAGAACATATTTATGAACATAAATAGTTCACCCCCCCAAAAAAAAAGGCTTTCTTTAAATAAAATCTGTAAATTAATCCAAGTGCACTAAATTTGCTCAGGAATAAATCTTTACACATTTACCAGAAGATTTAATAAGTAAGCTATATCTGTTCTCCCTAATGGCAATGTCTACTTTTCTTTAATTGTAATTTCACCAAACTGCTCTGAAAGTCCAAAAAAGAGCTACTATATGTCTTTTTCCTAATATGCTTATTTCTCAGTTATAGTCTCTTTTATACATCCTGTTGAAACCTCTGCAAATTCATTCACTCTTTAACTCTTCCAAGCAAGCAGCACAAGTGATCAGAAAAAGGAAAAGCTTTATTAAAACTCCTATTGCCTGACATTCTAAACAGTAACTAGTTTTCCATTATGTACACTATTTTTCTTACACTCCCATTGTCAATACAAGAAATGAGCAGGGATTCTATTGGATTTCTCGGTAACAGCCAACAACACAAAATTAACAAATACCTTTGGTAAATCCATAAAGCTTGGCCGAGCCGTTGAAATAAGTCCAAGTGTTTTTAAAGAGCAATTTACCAGTTGCGATAATATATCACAAGCTGCTTCGGCTGATTCTTTGCTGCTGTCCACCTTAGAAAAGAACACACCATTTACCTATGCATAGATTTACATTTCTCTGTGTAACCTTAATTTTACAGAAACAAGAAACAATTATAAGTTTATTACATTACAAATAATTAATATTCTTTCAATCATTCACCCTTACATGCAATGTCAGACTTTTCTGAACCTCTGAAAAATTTTAAGGGCAATTGTGAAGACTTAACTTTTGTTATGATAGACTATGTATTTAATGTTAAAAGGACTTTACTTGGCTTTTCAGTTGATTTATTCCAGACTATATAATATATAACCTAATGGAACACATGAATTTATAATCTTTGAAAAATCATTATATATTTGGTAGTGGATCCAAATTCTACATGTAAATACAGTGTCTATGGTATACATACATGTTTCAAGGCACCAGAAAGTGATTGTTTACTGAGAAGGTTCAAATTAATCACAACCTTGGATCATCATTAATGACCTTAATGGAAAGATGAATGTGAAGCAAAATGAGGGCCTCCAGCCAGTCAAGTATGAAAATCTGAACCAAAAGTAGCTGCTCCCACACACTCATGCATAGCCATTTCCTGGGGGAAGAGTAATATACTCAAAAACCTCCTCTAGGATATAGGAAGGAGCTCTTCTTTAAAAAATGTTTTTAATGTTTATTTATTTTTGAGAGGGACAGAGAGCAAGTGGGGGAGGGGCAGAGAGAGAGGGAGACAGAACCTGAAGCAGGCTCCAGGCTCTAAGCTGTCGGCACAGAGCCTGACGTGGGGATCAAAGTCACAAACCCTGTGAGATCCTGACTGGAACTAAAGATGGACACCTTAGTGACTAAGCCACCAAGGCACACCACTCCCCCATTTTTTTTTTTTAATTTTTTTTAAAAGAAGGAGCTCTTCTATCAAGAGAAATTTTTCCCTGAGCTAAAAAAAAAAATCTTAAAAGACAATAGTTAAAAGTAACATGTTTACTTTGATTTCCAGATTGATATACATTACCTTAACCCAAAAATGTTCTGAAGAGCTGGTTGTAACACTGATGGACTGTTTCAGAGCTACTTATAATACCTTCCTCTGGCTAAGTATTTCTACACAAGTGGTTCCTAAAGTGTGGTCCCTGGGCCAACAACATCAACATCACCTGGGAACCTGTTAGAAATGCAAATTCTCATGCCCAACCCAGATGCATCTTTCAGAAACTCTGGGGGGTGGGACCCAGCAATCTTTGTCTCAACAAGCACTCCAGGTATTTATGATGCGCATAAAGTTTAAGAACAATTGTTCTCCACTAACACTTGACCACAAGTCTGTCTGGCCTCCTCAGTGATGAACAGAACACAAATATAATCATAAGAGCTCAAGAGAATCTTGCAATATGGCTTCTTGCAAATCAGACATTATTTCCTCAGGAAAATAAACAATCCCCAATACAAATGTTTAAACTTACAGGACAAATGGTTTTGTGACAGTTATACAAGAGCTATAGCTTAACTGCACCAAGTGGCTGTAAAAGAGTAACACTGACCCAGCCAATCCCCTGAATGGAATTGGTCTTTAGACCTAGGAGATTAATGTACTACACTTATCTTTTTCTAAAATTTACCATTAGAATACTCTTAGACAACTCATAGATGACTGAAACCAAAAGAACGCTCTTCAAGTTTCTTAATGGGAAGGTGGAGGGAGGGACAACACTTGAGGAGTTCCTGGATTTGTGTTTGATTATCTCCCTTTCACTTGCCCTCAGAGTTGCCAGATAATATAAAGGACCACCCATTTAGATAAGTATTACATCCCAAATAATGAATGGGATATTTTTACACTTGAAATTATTTGTTGATTACCTAAAATTTAAATTAAGGGCACCTAGGTGTCTCAGTCAGTTAAGTGTCTGACTCTTGATTTCAGCTCAGGTCATCATCTCACAGTTCGTGAGTTCAAGTTCCCAGTGGGGCTCTTGCGTTGACAGTGAGGAGCTCCCTTGGGATTCTCTCTCTCCCTCTATCTTTGCCTCCCGTGTGTGCTCACTCTTTGTCTCACTCTCTCAAAATAAGTAAATAAACATTAGAAAAATAAAAATAAAGTTAAAACTCAATTAATAGGCATCCTCTATTTATATTTGCTAAACCTAGCAATCCTATACCCAGTGGCTTAAGTGCCATTGTGCATTTTTCTGGGACAATGGTCATAATGCGTCTAGCCATTCCTATCAGGAGACCCACCAGGTCTCTCTTCTTCAGATACAGATGGGAGAATAAGCATTCTCCAGAAGGAATGATATTCTTGAGCGCAGACAAGACTAGTTTTGGCAAAGAACTTGAATTAAGAACCACTGCTTTATCTAGGTTTAATTTGATCTGTTTAACAACTGCTAGCTATGGGTAATCAGGTATTCATGTGTTACTTTTCACCAATTATCAGGTATGTTAAAGATTTACTAAACATGCCTACCTTCCATCATTCGTCCCCAAAACAAAACATACTCCTATAAACCTCTGTACTCCTCTAAACCACTGTAATTCCTTAAACTACTCTAGACATCTCAATAAAGCCACCCCATTTCAATTATCTCAACACTGCATGAATTGCAGTACGTCCCTTCTGGCAATGAAAAGAAACAAATGGTTCTCTTTGGCATTCTTCCATGTACCTTTTTTTATTTCTAAAATATATTCATCTAAACCTTTTACATAAAGTTTCTTTATCTCCTTTTTCTTTGAAAACCCCATATCATAAAGCCATCAATAAGCAGAATTCAGTCTCTATTAAATAGTAATAGCAATTAAGTTTTCATCAATCATAATCTCTATTTTTTTTTTTTTTTTTAAAGAAAACGAGCACAGGAGACAGGCAGAGGGAGAGAGAGAATCTTAAGGAAGCTCCACGCTCAGTATGGAGCCCAATGTGGGACTAGGTCTCACAACCCTGGGATTATGACCTGAGTGAAATCGAAAGTTGGACATTCAAATAACCGAGCCACCCAGGCACCCCTTCACATTTTTTATTTATTTTATTGTGTATTTTTTCCTCAAACTTATTCACAATAATTCAATGCGACTGACAGCTTTGGTAAATGACTTATGCCTATTTAGTAGTTGCTTCTGTTCTCTTAAGAAATTCTGAATAATTATGATAAAAAAAAAGTAACAGCTCAAGTATTATTTCTGCAGATTCTAAATGATTAAAAAAAATTTTTTTAATGTTCATTTATTTTTGAGAGACAGAGACAGACTGGGACCAGGGGAGGGGCAGAGAGAGAAGGAGACACAGAATTGGAAGCAGGCTCAAGGCTCTGTCAGCACAGAGCCCGACACAGGGCTCAAACTCACAAGCCATGAGATCATACCTGAGCCAAAGTTGGAAGCTTAAATCACTGAGCCACCCAGCCACCCTACTGCAGCTTCTAATGTATATATAATATTTCTAAATCATTAAGAACTTTCTCTAAAAAAGCAGTATTTTTAAAACATGAGAAGATATATTGGTTTAGGATTTTAAAAAGCCACTAAATATGATTTTTAAAAAAAAAGATTTAAAGTATTACCTTGAAGCTGACATATTGAAGATGGTTTGAATGTCTTTTAATAATCTGTTTGATCAGCTCTGGATGTGTAGCTTTCAAGTAAGATGTAGCTGGCTGATTCAGTTCAAATTCAAAACATCTCCACAAGTCAGGCATGTGAAATACCTGGTTCCAGTTGCGACAAACTTGTGAAGCATGAGCCCGGTCAAGAAGAGGCAAATACTTAAATACTTGGAGAATAATGTCTTGAAGGAGATTACCCCAATCACAAGTCTGAGAATGCTCATTTGTAGTCCTCAGTTTCTTAGATTTCTCTGCAGTATCTTCTTCTGATGAATTATGGTCACTATCTCTTCCTCCTCGTTTCATCCTATTCAGAAAAATGCATCATTATTTTCATACTTAACTTTTGAATAGCAATAAATCCAACATTCATTTGGTCACTGAGATACATATATGTATGCTTATAAATGCAAACACAAACATGAAGAACTGGACCAGTAATTCAAGAAGAATATCAAGACAAAATATAATGAAAAATGCCAGTGGAGACCAACTGTTATTTTACAAATTCTATACAAGTGTTTTTAAACATTTGTGTTTATATTGTATTACTGGCGGTAGTGGGTGGAGAGACAGCATGATTCTGAAACTAAATCAAAAACTATAGTCAACTAAAAGGAATATTAAAAAAAGAACCTACAGTGACACCTGCTAAAGCTTTCTTAAAAGTCATCTAAGGATACCTGCTCTATGTGAGTTCTTGAATTCAAGGAAACCGCAGTCCCAGGAATCTTCTAGAGAAGATGTGAATCAAGTAGCCAATAGATCTCTCCACATTAAATAGTTTGTAATATATGTTACTGCCAGACACAATCTCTACTTAAAATAAGCAAACCCATCCCTACTACGCATGGTTTGGTCTGGAATGTAGTTTCTTCTTCCAACACATCACTGACTACTGCAATGTTTACCTGAAGTTGTATTTCCAAATGATAGGTATGTGTTTATTCTGTGTATTTGTACTATCTTCATCCCATTTGTTTCTCTGAAATAGTCTTATTGCAAAATAGTAGTATGGTTAAGAGAATGGGCTCTGGAATCAAGCTCCCTGGGTTTGAATGGTGGCTCTACCTCTCTGGTTATGTGGCCTTGAACAAGTTACTTGACCTTCCTGTGCTTCAGTTTGTAAAGTAGGGATAACACACAGGATTCTTGTGAAGAATTAAATAGTAACGGCTTGAAAAAGATAGAGGATGTTGAACTCAAGTACAGGAAAGCAGTCCAGTATTAAAGACTTTAAAGTGTGTGACAAAGAAATGAAATGTGTATGTGAAAAAATACAAGAACACATGCTTATATATGGAGAAATATACACTGGAACTGGATTCACCACACTAAGGTAGTAACGAACCATAATAAGTAAGTGGGATTATACTGTATTGTATTATATTAATAATATAGTAGTGTTCATAGCAGCACTCTCAACAATAGCTAAAACATGGACAGAGCCTAAGTGTCCATCAACGGACGAATGGATCAAGATGTGCTTTATCTATACCATGGAATACTACATGACAATGAGAAACAATGAAATCTGGCCATGTGTAGCAACATGGATGGACCTTGAGGGTGTTATGCTCAGCGAAATAAGTCAGGCAGAGAAGGACAAATATCACATGTTTGCACGTATAGGAGGATTAGGAGGAACTTAACTGAGGAACAAGGGGGAGAAGAAGGGGGGAAATGGTGGGGGAAAGGGAGAGAGGCAAACCATGAGAGACTCTTGAATGCTGACAAAAACTGAGGACTGATGGACGTGGGGGGTAAGGGGGATGGGCATGGAGGAGGGCACTTGTGGGGATGAGCACTGGGTGTTATGTGGAAACTAATTTGACAATAAACTATTTGTAAAAAAAATAAATAAATAAAACTATGATATATCATCCAAAAAAAAAATAATATAGTAGTAAGATAACAGTGGTGGCATTACAGGTGAATTCTTTTGCCAGAGAGAGCACAAGCAGGGGAGGGGCAGAGGGAGATGGAGAGAGAGAATCCCAACAGGCTCCATGCTGTCAGCAGGGAGCCCGACATGGGGCTCCAGCTCACAAAACTGCTGAGATCGTGACCTGAGCTGAAATCCAAAGTTGGACATCTAGCCACTAAGCCATCCAGGCGCCTCTATGCCTCTATTATATGCATTTCTTTTCATGTCAATCAATTACATTGTAATCAGGCAAACAGGTCTTGGTTTGATTTGTTATTTGGAAAAATAAGTATTGCAGACTAAAGGGAGTAACTGCAGACTATTCACTAGTACCCCTATTTACTTTAGAGCCTGTAACACTTTTGTACCTACAGAGTAGCTCTGGCAGAGTATTATTTTGGATTTGGAGTCATAGTTTTTTGAAAAGGATGGCTTGTGGCTCCAACTCCCTTCTTCTGGCATATCACTGTATAAGAATCTGTGATTCCTGCGTGGGCTGAAGGATGTATATATGAAAGACTCTTAACCAAGTAGGTCTCTGCAGGCTCTCTTTATCCAGTAGCTAGCAAAACTTGTGAAAGAGGACTGGGCCCTGGAAAAAAACAAAACAGCAAGGTCTCCTGGGCTTCATGCCATTAAAATATGCCCAGGAGGTCTTAGTATGTATGCAATGAATTCCTCATTAACCCTACTTCCAACTATGTGAGTCAAAGTGAAGTAAATGATGTATATTCTACTGAGGAAGGAGAGAGGAAAGGAGAAAACAGAATGACAGGTGACGGCAAGAGGGTAGTTTTATGGAGCATTAAAACTTACTTGTGAATCCAAGAATACATTTTGTAATGTGTTTAGTGAAAAGATAGTAGATAGTATAATCCACAATATAATCTGTAGTATAAAAAAAAATCCCTTCTGGTAATAATGTCCCACAGAGGTTGAGGTTACAGTGTCATTATGACCCATTTTTCAGCTTTACCTTATTCTGAAGACTTAATTTTAGCATAGAAAATTTGGGTCAAAGAACAAAGAGTTTGCTACCCAGCAAACTCATAATGTGGCTTATAATTTCTCTTCTGATTACCTGAAACTACTCATAATTTTGAAATACAGAAATTCAAAGCAGAATGAAGCTGCTTTACAATTTCTACTCCTTATTATACAATGTTGACTGCCTGTTCCTGGAGAAAATTTTCTAAAACCATTACTATTCAAGATGGAATGATTCACTGATCATATGAATATATAAACAAAAATGACAGCTTTATTTAAACAATTATCTTTGCTAATGTAACAATAGGTACTTTCTTTTACCAATTACAGCCCTGTTTTAAATACAGTATGTTTCAATACCTCTCCAAGTTGAGGGGAGAAAAAGGTGACATATTAAAAAGAAGTATGCAACAATGAGAAATAGTATTTCTTGGTCCAGTAAGACTATGATCACCAAAGTATATTTTAAGTGCTTACTAGTTTGTGAACAGCTGAGTAAAAGTCCATAAATTGTCATATGTAATATGACTGTAATATGTCAGAATTATAGGATATTTAGTAATAGAAAAAAATGCAAGGGCAAATGCTGATAAAAATGGTCTCTATTATCCTCATTTATGCATGAAAATAACACTGCAGACAGCTAATAAAATTTTTAAATGTCAGTTTTTTTCCATGATGGTCTCATTTATTCATCCAAAGATTGATACTGCTTCCAAAAGTATTTTATTAAATCTATTTACACACAGCTCTGCTGTATAGAAAATTAAACAATTCTGAGCATCCACTGGTCTGCAAAGAACTTACATCAATGAAGTATTTATCTTCTTTTAGTCAAAGTGAAAACACCCTCCTGCATTGAAAACGAGGAGTGCAGAGGAGGAAGCTGTACCACAAACGTCAGTAAGACTTGGTAGAGCACCAAAACCAGACCTCTTCAGGGCTCCAACGGTTCAATTTCAAACTACAACTTTTCTAGGCCCCAAATAATTGATGCAACTTAGGTCACTAGCGCACTGGGTGAGGGGCTGATAGGGTGAAGCACCAAGAGAGAAAAAGGAAAAAAAAAAATTAATGAGGAAAACCTAGAGTAGTTGAGCAGCACAGGGAGTTACTGAACTAACCTTAATATTTCCATACCCCCTGAAAGTAGTAGTAAATTTGTTCATCAGAGAAAGAGGGAACAGAACACTTCAGCTGTGTGTCCAGCATTGTATTAGATACTGTTGGTAACCTGTGCACGTAGTAATTTTATAAGCCCATATGTACACAGCTCTACAAAGCTTGTTTTGGCATCACATTTCCTTTCCATTTGGGTTCTACTTTAACTAAGATCAAAATTAATTTCCATCCCTTGGCTGCAATACAAACAAACAAACAAATAAACAAACAGTGGGAAGAGATTAACTCTCAGAACTAGATAGCAGGAAGTGTGTTAGTGAAAATGTGTCTGGCGATCATCTGTAGATAACTCGAAGTTGATGGTATTTTTATAAATATTTCGAAAGAAGGTGTGTGAGTGGGGGAGGGGGGGAGAGACTATTTAAAAGATCTGAGCCATCGAATCGGAGAACATCAGCAACAAAATAATAGTAACCTAACCTCTTAGCTTGGAGACGCAGGTCAATCGCTGAATAGGCTGCTTCCTGATCCCTGTCGCCAGCCCCACGTGAACCCGCTGCCCACGCGTAGGCAGGCGCGAAGCGGCTCCTCCTCACAAGTTGACCAAGTTTTCCACGGGGCTCCGAGGCCCGGACGTCCCCCCTCCCGCGCCACCTCCACGGATTGGCTCTCCCTGACATTTCTCACGCGCTCTGCCCTAAGCAGTGTTTTGACATCTTTAACGCCCCTCGTTTTTTCAAGCTACACGCACGGGCACAGCCCACGCCGGGAAGGGCCTGGCAGAGCGCGAGTTCTACGGTGCCCGTCGCCAACCCTGCCAATCCAGGCGGCGGCGGCCCCGAGCCCGCACTCGCACCACGCCTTGTTGACATGTTTTGAAGCAGGCATCGCGGGGAAACGCCCCCAAGCAGGCTCTAAGGTCTGGGCGCCGCGCCCCGCGCCCGGCCCGACGCCACCGAGGGGCAGCCCGCACGCTGCGGGGACCCCGCGCCCCCGACCCGCCCTGCCGCCCACGAAGGTCGGCGGACCCACCCCAGCCCTGCCGTCACAGGGGGGCTCCGGCCCTGCCCTTCCGCCGTTACCTGCTGCCGGGGGCGGCTTCCCCCACGCACCACCCCGGGCTCCGGGGACGCCGGCTGCTGGTTCCGCGGCTCTCACATGAGGCCCCCCGGGAGCCCCGCTTCGCGCTCCCGCCGCCGCGACCCCCCGCGCTCCGCCCGCATCCGAGGCGCTGGTCCCGCGGCGGACGCCAACGCGGCTCCACCTTTGCGGTTCTGGCTGCCCCGGGAGAAGCCTCCTTTCTCAGTCCCACGCGGTCCGCGTTCTCCTTCCGGGACCCCTCGTAGCTGCGAAAGACTCCTTCAGCTAGCCGCAGCCACCGCGTAGGCCCCCGCCGCCTCGGCCCACACAGCGACCCACACAGCGACTCCAAAATGGCGCCTGGAGCTCGCGGCCGCGCGCTTTCCACGGCGCGTCTCCGCCCGTGGGGGCGAGCGCGTGTCCGCCGGCGCGGGCCCGCGGAGGGGAGGGCGGGAGTGGGCCGCGCCCGCCGAGAGCGCGCACCGTCCGTGCAGCTGGGAGCCTCCGCCTCCCGGTTCACAGAGAGTGGGCAGCTTTCCTCTTGAGACGCGACTGCTACTCTTAGGGATTTTTCCTTTTGCAGCCAGTGTGGGAGGACTGGAGCCAGCTAGATGCCGAAGAGACTATCTGCTGTTGAAACTGGAAAGTTTAGGGAGGTGAAGCAGGAAGGGAAACGAGCCTGCTACCATCCAGCAGCTCGTAGTTCTCCGAGGCAGAGTTACAAACTGTAGCTGCAGACAGCTGACCCACCTCTGCACCGCGAGGCCACTGGGATGGCCACGACTGCACCACAGAACGCAAGGGGTTAAAATTTGCATACAGCATAGGGACATAAGGTGTTCTAAAAACTGCGAGGAATTATCGCAGAATGGTGGCGGTGTTAACATTGGGATAGCAAATGATTTTTATATTTAAAATATTTGTATTTTCATATTTTTAAAATAATTTTTATCATCAGTTATTACTTTTTAAAAACCACCTTTATAAAGTAGATAGACTCATGGGATGTCTGGGTGGCTCAGTTGATTAAGTGTCCATCTTGATTTTGGCCCAGGTGATGATCTCCGGGTTCAGGAGTTTCAGCCCTGTATGGGGCTCTTCCTTGACAGCATGGAGCCTGCTTGGGATTCTCTCTCTTCTCTCTTTCTTCTCCTCCGCTCATGCTTGTTTGCTTGCTCTCGCACTCTCTCTCTCTCTCGATAAATAAAAAAAAAAAATAAAGTGGATAGATGACTGAAATTTGTAAAGTTTCTGAAACATAATAAGGAAATAAGGAAAGTGTAAAGGACTAGACGGCTACTTAAAAAATAACCCACGGGTGAAGCCTCTTATCAATCCAGGCATTTTTGTTTGTAAGTGCTACCAACTTAGCTTGTTTTAACAGTTTGAATTTTTGAATACTGGGTGTCCCTAAAGCGAGAAATGTCCTTAGATACAAAACCATAACTTGAATCATGCGTCATCCCTCTTTCCTCCCTCCAAAATAAAAAGTAATTTTTCACCCAGAGAGATCTTGTCAATGATCCGACCCATATGTAAGAGACTGGAAAGCAATGACGCCCAGGGGAGTATTCTACTCTTCCATTGCAAAAATCGAGCTAGGAAGCCCTAATATAATGTGTAAAATTACATTAAGATTCGGTGTGGGGAAAATGCCAGTGTTGTTTGTTAAGGGCCTGGCTATCTGATCGTCAGATCAAACTGAACAAAGTCTCTAGCAACATAATAATGTGGATGTACCTGAATTGCAACATTTTTTGCAATATGACTGAATGAAGAGCAATAGTAGGAGGCTATTAAAACTTGCACTCCAATTGTGGTCCCTTTTAAAAATCCTCATTGTAGTGTATTCTCTCTCTAAAGAAGGGGAGGATCTAGGCGAGGATCTTGACACATTTTACCTATTGAATGTTCCTGATCCTTCCCTATTACTTTTATTTGACCTTTTGGTAACTCGTGTTTTGAAACTTGTGTTTCCTTTCAAATCAGTCAATACCTATTTACATTTATTAGTTGTATTAGTCAAGATCAATGCCACTGAAGGGGAAGGAAGAAGGTGGCTGTAGGGTAGTTTGGTCCAGCACTGAAGAATATTTTATTGCCAACCCTGTTTAGAATTGCCAATATATGTGATAATAAAAGGCAAACCAACATTTAGTCAGATTTATTACAGTTTTTAAATTCTCTACAGAAAATGTACCCCTCTACGAGGGACGGACTATTCATGTGTATCACTACCTTCATGTGTATATAGATTTAATAAAATACTTTTGGAAGCAATATAAATTTTTACATGAACAAATGAGATCATCATGGAAAAACTGACATTTAAAATTTTTATTAGGTGCCTACAGTATTATTTTCATGCATGAATGAAGATATTAGAGACCATTTTATCAGCATTTGACCTTGCATTTTTTCCCATTGCTAAAGATCCTATAATTCTGACATATTACACTCATATTACATGTGACAGTTTACAGACATCTGTTCACCTTGGCACTCCACTGATTGAGATAGATTAGGTTATGTTCAGTAGCTCCTAAAACATCATTTTGATTCCTTGTTTTAACTACTTGCACAGTTTTTAGGAATACTGCTTCGGTATTTTGTATAATTTTCCTCAGTAGGGGTTTGTCTCTTGTTTTTCTCATGATTACACTGGGAGGAAGATCACAAATGTATGAAGTACCATTCTCTTCACATCATATCAAGGCTACATGTTGTCAAAAGGACTTCATCCCTCTTGATGTTCACATTAATTAGGTGAGGTCAAGTTGCTCTACTGTAAAGTTACTTTTTTTCCCCTCCATTTCCATACTGCACCTTTTGGAAGAAGATCACTAAGCGCAGCTCACGCTAAAGGGTTGGGGAGTTAAGCTCCATCTCCTTGAGTAGGAAGATGTCTGCATAAATTATTCTGCATGACACAATTGCCTCCATATCTCTTAATGTCATTTTGTTATGTCTTTATTGCTCTGTACTGAAAACTTTGTAATTTCCTCAGATAGGTCTTCCACGTCACTCTTTCTTCAGAGCTATGTAGTTTCTGTCAAGCCAATCTGTGCCTTTATTTTTTATTTGTAAAAGTTACACTTGGATCTTTTTCACATCTGCTTGATTTTTCCTGAATTTTTTCTTGTTTTTAATTCTTTCTCTCTTTATTATTATTATTTTTTTAAATCAGTTTGTAACCTGGTTAAGGATGTGCCACTCTAGGGAAGTTTTTGTGTTTGCTTCTGCTACATGCTGCAAGGTATTACTAGCCTGGAACAACTTTTTATAATAATTTCTTGACTCCCGAGTTCTCGGGTCATGACAGTATAAATTCAGATGCCAATCTGTGTGAGGACAGAGCCATGGTTATGAATTCTCAGGAAGACTTTTTCCCTAACCTAGAGCTCAAGTTAAAACAGGTTACCTTATTATTCATCCCCCTGTGGGCTTGGCCAGCTATTCCTTAAAGAGGATAAAGATCTTCAAAATTCCCGCTTTATGCACACATCTCAGTTACAACTTCTCTTGCAAACTCCTGTCCTCTATGTCACTCTCTCTTCAGATAGTTCTTTCCTATCAATCCCTCCATTTTGCTCTTACAAACTTGACACTCACCCCTCTCAATTCATCCTCTATGTCTCTTAACTGCTCTTTCATATTTTTCTCTGTTTCTCTTTGCTGCATTACATATTATCTTCTAACCCACTGATTTTCTCTTTGCCTCCAATCTAGAGTTCATACCAGCTATAAACTGAAATTGAAAATTCCATTCCCCAAATTTCTCGTTTGTTTCTCATACGCATCTAGTTTTGAAATAATCATTCTTGGGGCACCTGGGTGGCTTAGTCAGTTAAGCGTCTGACTTTCGCTTAGGTCATGATCTCGCGGTTCGTGGGTTCAAGCCCCGCATCAGGCTCTGTGCTGACTGCCAGCTCAGAGCCTGGAGCCTGTTTCAGTCTGTGACTCCCTCTCTCTCTGACCCTCCCCTGCTCATGCTGTCTCTCTCTCTCTCTCCCCTAGAAATAAATAAAACATTTAAAAAAATATTTAAAATAATCATTCTTTATGAATTTCACAAACATATATATGACTAATATAAATATATAATAACCATATGGGAAGTATATATAGAATTGAAAATGAATACATAGAAAGCTGCAGTAATAATTCTAATAGCTGATGAAATAGAATTCAATCCAAATGATATAGGGGGAAAGATGCATTAATAAAAGTAATAGTACTGATAAAAGACACAATAGGGGCACCTGGGTTGCTCAGTCGGTTAAGCGTCTGACTTCGGCTAGGGTCATGATCTCATTGTTTGTGGGTTCAAGCCCTGCGTTGGGCTCTGTGCTAACAGCTAGCTCAGAGCCTGGAGCCTGCTTCCGATTCTGTGTCTCCCGCTCTCTCTGACCTTCCCCTGCTGATGCTGTCTCTCTCTCTCTCATAAATAAATAAAACATTTTAAAAATTAAAAAAATTGGAAACAAATAAAACAAAAAGTAAACAAATTGACAATGATACTCCAGAGGCCCCTTGCACTTTTTCCTTTTTCATAGCACATATTGTCAGCTAGCATATTACATAATGTATGTCTATTGTTTAATGTCTGTGTCCCTTACTAGAATATAAGTGCTAGGGTCTGTTTTGTTCATGGATCCTAGGCTCCTACGACAGTCCCTGCCTCAGTAAACATTTCTTTGAGTCATGAAAGAATAGGACAGGACAGGGCTAATGTTGGTATTACACAGTGCAATGCCTGGACTTGAGCCCTACTGTGACTCAAATGTGTCATGGGGAATAAATAGGCAGTTTGATGTCGCAAGGAGGGGAGAATCTCAAGAGGTGAACAGGATGGTGACAAGAAAACAGTCATAAGTGAGTTTGCTTATGGACCAGAGGACCCAAATGATACATCGAGTTCTGTGCTTTTCTGACTCCCCAATTTCACACATCCCACTAGGAATGGGAAACCTCACAGCAAACAGGAAACCTGTTAATAGAACCCAGGAGAAAGAGACTGTAGCTCCTGTGGCCCCTTCCTCCTTCTCCTCCTACGCCCTCCTTCGCTTCTTCCTCCTCCTCCTCTCTTCTTCCTTCTTCTTCCCCTTATCCTTTTTTTTCCTCCACTGTCTATAAGGAGCTTGGTGGTTGCAAAGAAAGAAAAGAACAGGAACAAGGTCTCATCCTTCTGTAGTTGTCTAAAGGGATAACGCCCACCAGTGAGATTAGAAAATACTATATACACGATGTATAAGTTCCTAATAATAAGATTAACACTGTATACAAAGGTGCTGAGGGCATGAGAGGAAGAGTAGAAGAGGAGTAGACAGGGAGAGCTCATTCATTGACTAAGGTCAGTTTTGATTCAAATCCT